AGCCTGGTCTGGAACACTTCCAGGGATTAACATCCTTATTGTTTCTGCCCAAAAGGAGGCAAGATACACACAACTTCAGCTTTGTATCAGAAAAAAAGAAGCTGTGGAGGGCTCTGACTTTGGTCTTCCTGCTCTCCCACAGACATCCCTTGTGGCCCTGAGTATGGCACCTTCAGGCCCAATGTGTATTTACACACTTAAATCACACTAAGTAGGATTTCAAAAGCCTCCATCCACATCTAAATTCCTTCACAAATCTTGCTTTTGATCTCTCCAGCTACATCCATATTATCCAATCAGCTCAAAGCTGTACCAGTGCTAGAAATCCACCCCACTGGTTGTTATTGATATTTAAAGTCCAGCTCTGCTCTGGCTGCAGCTCCCACCAGTAACCTCAGGCACAGGGAGCTGGGTGGAGTGGCTGACTCACACTCCACATCCACAGCCCGTGTGCATGAGGGCACACAGCCAGTACCTCCAAGGACTGAGGACTAAACCACAGGAATGAGGCAGAAGCAGTAAATATGCAGAAGTTCTCTGAAGATGAGAACAGCTTTGTTCACCTCCCAGACAGGGAACTGGCTTGTACTAAACTGTACTTACAGACCTTGGAATGGGGCCATCCAAGGAAAGAAGGGCTCTTGAGTGGATGCTTCTATTTTTCTATTCTCCCAGTAATACAGCTGTGCAATTTGTTTTGTACTCCTGAACCAAACAATTGCACATTCACAGCTGGAGGTAGGGTACAAATATTGTCTCTGGCTGATCCCTTGATCCTGTCGTCCTTGCTGAATTAATCACACTCGCAGATCAATCCTGGATTTATTGCTGGCAGAGCAGATGGCCAGGCAGACTGCAGTTGTGAGCAAGGCGGGCACGTTCCTCTTCCAATTATCCAGCAGCATTTTCCAACAGTGGATATTTAAAATTAGACATTATTTTAAAGAAATGTTAGATCTCTCTTGTTCCTTCTTCAGCTCTACAGGGACAATGACCCCTGATTTTTGGTCTGCTTCCATCCTCTAAGGCTCAGTGAAAGTATAGGATGGCTGGTGCCCCTTTCCCTTTCAATTGAATGTTTTCTGCCCCATTTTCTTCTGCTGTCTTCCCATTTTCCACAGAAATGAGGTGACAACACCAGCTGCTGTTTGACAGAGGGATTTCAAGGGTGCATTATATTAATTGCTGAGCCAAGGGCTCCAGGAGAGGGAAGAGGAGCTGCACTCATGGGGCTCATGGCATGGAACAGCAGGAATGGGGGTGACAGCGTGTGCCTTCAAACAGCCTGGAGAGGACTGCCATGTCACAGGAGTAAATTTGCCGTGAAAGACAGCCGTGCTGTTCTCCCAATGTTTACATCTGTTGTGCATTCAGAGTCCCTCTGGATAATTGCTCCTGTATCCCCTCTGTCCCCTGCTGAGGAGCTGTGAGAGCTGTCAGGGGAGTTTCAGCCCAGCTCCATCACGTTCTGTACGAGACACCTCACATTGCTCCAGAGGTGAACAGGGTTAACCCAGAGCGTGTTTGCAGTCCCTGAAGGAATGAAACTCGACAGGACAGTCCAGAGGAGATGATCCCCCCATGGTGGGACACAATGGCCACTCTTGATTAATCACATCTATGCAAAGGCATTGAAATCATCCCCTTGGCTCCATGGCTGGAGAAAAGACAGGGAGGTTAGACAGAGCACAGCGAGGCTGCACAGGACGCTGCACACACACACTGCATCAGCCAGCCTGTTATCCACACAGGATCACAGCATCTCAACAGCACCCAAAGGAACAGCAGACATGGAAAAAAGCCTACAGGACCTGGGAGTGCCCAAGTTTATACTGATGTGAACTTAGAACCGTGGAATCCCAGAATGGTTTGGGTTGGAAGGGACCTTAAAGATCATCTGGCTCCAATCCCCCTGCCCTAGGCAGGGACACCTTCCACTGTCCCAGGTTGTTCCGAGCCCTGTCCAGCCTGGCCTGGAACACTTCCAGGGATCCAGGGGCAGCCACAGCTTCTCTGGATAATCTGTATCAGTGCCTCATCACCCTCACAGTCAAAATTTTTTTTCAGATATTAAATCTAAACCCACTCATTCAGTTTGAAGCCATTCTCCCTTGTCCTGGTGCTCCAGGCTCTTGTGAATATTCTCTCTGTATCTTTCTTGTAGGGTCCTTTCAGGTGCTGGAAGCCTTCTCTTCAGGCTGAACAATCCCAATTCTCTCAGTCTTTCCTCACAGCAGAGGTGCTCTGTCCCTCTGATAACCTGGTGGCCTCCTGTGGACTCACTCCAACAGGTCGATGACATGCCAGCAGTGTCCTAACCACCACCAGAGAATATTCACTGTTTAGCACCCTTTGCTGCTTTCCACAAAATGAAAATAGAAAATTTGAGGTGTGCAATTGCTCAGCCTTATGCTCAACCTTTCAATACAGACACCTGCCAGATACAAATGTGGATTAATTTGAAAAGTTAAAAGCTAAAGCCAGGGGTCCTTGTACTTCAGAACTGTATCTTAGAACAATGCTGGAATTGACATTTCCAATGCCTTGAACACAGCACAAACCAAGGCAGTGCACTCCCTTACTCTGCAGCTCAGAGAGAGGATGCCAGTTTCCCAAGATGCTGATCCCAGATACATATTTTAAGAACTACAACTCCTTTTCCCTGCTGTACTGTAGGAACCTATATGCCTGCATGTCTGGCAGTTCAAGGCTGCTCTTCAGGAACATCAGGGCTACCTCTCAGATCCCAGAAAAACTCTCTCTTCCCCAGCAGTTATCATTTAAACTGTGTTCCCGGACCAGCCTCAAGGCCAGCTCAGCACACAGGAACAATTCCTGGGCTCAGTTCCCTTCTGGAGGAGGTGGGAACAAATGACATCATCTCCACAGGTCTCCCTTTGCTGACAGAGAGAAGCAGTTACCCACCATGAGGGAAGCCCTGCAGAGGATGTAACCAAACTGGAGTTACACATGTAGAAGCCAAATCCAACATCTCCAGAATTTATAAACCCCTCTGTGCAGACTTTTCCAAGGAAGATGAGCCTAATTTGTTTAGACCTTGTAGTACATCACCAAAACTGCAGCTGACACAACTGTGCCAACTAACAAGTGCAGGGATGGACCCACCTGCCACATCTTCAGTTTTGTTCCAAGGGGTGAGGCCCACCTTAAATCCTCACTCCTGCCATACAGGAGTGCAGCTGATCAAATTCCAGGCACTCTTAGACCCACAGAGTGCCTCACGTCCTTCCCACAGCCCCACCAGGCCTCCCTCCCAAAGCTGCTCAATGTCCCTTCTGCCTCTCAATGGCACTGTGTCAGAATCTCATCTGCCTGTGCTTGGCTTCCCACCCTCACCTGCACCTGAACAGGACATTGCAGGAACTTCACCTGTGAGGAGCTTGGGAGAGCCAGCCTGTATTCCAGTCAGTTCAACAACCCATGGAACAGTAGGCACAGCCATACTCACACACTGTCACACACAGGCAGCCACTGCCCCAGCTTCCATCCCTGGAAGTGCCCAAGGCCAGGCTGGACATCTCTTGGAGCAGCCTGGGATAGTGGACGGTGTCCCTGCCCAAGGCAGGGGTGGAACTGGGTACTATTGAAGGTCCCTTCCAACCCAAACTATGATTCTTCCTCCAGCTCCTCAGAACAAACTACATTTCTCCTCTTCTCCATATTATTCCCAGACACCCTGCCAAGCCAGAGATCTCCTTAGCAAACTCCCAGCCCTGGGCAAACTGTCTCCACAAGCCTGGAAGGGAAAGCACCACTGAGAGATGCTCAGGCTGCAGGTACACTGCAGGCTTGTCCTGCTGTGCAGGTTTCCCATTTTGATCCTACTCCCTCCTCTCTGCTTTGACTTTAATCACCACTCAACTGACCTTTGCATCATAACTATTAGAAGCCAATGACCTTTCCTGAATGGAAGCAGCTGCCCTTCACTTCATATCCCTGATCTCCTGGCAATTCTCTGTATTCTGCTGCTGGTTTTACTGCCTGTGATGTGGCAGTACCAATAAACTACTGCCCATTTCTGAGTGAAGAACACTCAGTGATGAGCAGAGAATGCCACAGGACCCCACAGGTGACCTTCTCCTCCCATAGAAGAGCTATTTATTCTTTTTTTTTTTTCTCCTTTTCTGGAAAACCATTCTTCTCCCTTAGCAGCTTCTTCTTCCCAGAGCTTTTGGCAACAGATTTTGCCTTTCAGTGACTCAGATGCCATTCAGGAGCCAGATGTGCTGAAGCAGCTGTGCATTTTCTCCTTCACAGAGTTCTCTCACCTGGAACAAAGGGGTTTATTTCTGTCATGTCTAATCTGTGGCCTGTTAATGCTGTTCTTTGGTGTTCACAGAAACAATCTACATCAGATACAATTCCTTGGATTATACTTGGCAGTTTTTTCAACAACAGAGGAATCAAAGTCTCCAAAGAGCATGACAGGATGAAACAGCAAAAATGCAGAAAATAAGGGCTTAAATCAAATTAATGCAGTGGTCTCTTGGGCAGGAAAGAGATGAGCCAATGATTGTGGGAAGGTAAAACAAAAACTAAGTTCTCTGTCTCCTTCAAGCTTGGGGATTTCCTTGACACCCACTCTGACACTGTTCAGGGGGCACCTGCGCTCTGTATTGTGTTCCACAGCTCCAGGTTCTGCCAGGAGCTTGTGGGAGAGGTGGAGCAGGGAAGTTTATGTGACATTGCAGGCTAAGCCCCACGCTGCCTTGCACCTCATCTGTGACACAAAGGTGCAAAGCAGCAGAGCACAGCAGCTCCCTGCAGGTTCCAACAGCTCCTCTCCTTCCCAGCACAGCAGATGGAAACAGGAATTATTTTAGGTACAATAGCAAATGAGGGAGCAGTTGAGACTGGACTGTGACAAGTCCAACACAAACTCCAGGAAGCTGAGAAAAGGAGGAAGGTCATACCAAGCATCACCAGATTTTCCCTGTCACACAGGGACCACTTTGCAATTAAAACAGGGCAACACAACCTCTTAATGAAACATTTTATTTAAACCAATACAAGCACCATGCTCAGCAAAAAAAAGATTTGGTTTAAAGTAAACATGCAATGTGAAGTAGCAGACACTAAACAGCGTATGGAAGTTGTACTGGTATTTTCATGGAACTGCCAAATTCTCAAATCTGGCCATGAACCTCTCACACCTTTTAAGACAAGTCTGGACTATAGAATAAACACAAGAGCTTCACTGAGTCCCTTTTCATGTCCCACCACGGCTCCACTTCACAGTCACTACATGTATGTATACAAAAAATGTTCATGATGTTTATTTTTGGAATGCACTGAAGTAAGGAATTGAATTCTCTTGCTTCTGCCTGTTTGAGTCAGATCTCTGTCATCAGTTTAACATCATTTCTGGACCAGCTATTTTACAGTTAAAGATACAAAAGTGGAATCCTGGTACAAATGCAAAGATGCTCCTTTGGAGAAGTGAAAAAAGGTGTCTAACACCTGCATTATTGCCTCCTTTAATAGATCAGAACAGTACTCATGATAGAATAGAAATACACTTAAACCATCAAATACCAGCATTTACATTTTTTTGTTAAAAATCTTCAAAACACTAAAAGTCTATTTCATGGGCTGACATGCAAACTCATACTTTAATTCAGCTTGCCATCAGTGAATATGATTACAAGAGCTGTATCGCAGCCATCTAGTCAATATTTAAAGCAAAAACTGATTAACTGATTAATTGTGGCAGAAGTCTCCTTTGGAGAGACCTTTAACTCTAGACCAAGGATTTTATGGCCAACTTACTAACTCCTGAAAAACAGGAGCTCCCAATGGAAAATGCTGACTCTCAGACCTTTAGCTACAAAGGCTCCCCTAGGCTAATTTATGTTGTCCTTTAGATGTCTCTTTAAAGGTCTGCAAGAGACATGTGTGATTACAGATGGGCAACTCACCAGCAAAGCCCAGCAGGAACATACTGGCCTGAACATGGACTCATCTGCCTCCCACTGAGCCTAAGGGGGCAGCAGCACAGAACACACAGTTCTACAGATAAGGTGGGGAAAGGATGTTATGAAAACAGGGATTATTTGTGCAGGAAAGACTTGGACATAATGATGGCTTTGTTTAATCAAGTGTTAGCACTACCTGCATCTCAAGAGCCCAGGACAATTAGCAGCAGCCAGTTGTGTCAAAACACTGCATTAAGACCAAAGAGAACACAAACAAGGCTGGAACAGCAAACACCCTCTGCACACTCATCCTCCCAGAACCTGCAGCTGCTTCCACAGCTCAGCCAGGAGGGAGGAACAGCTGCCAGGCAGGGCTGGCAGAGCAGTAATACTGGTGGGCTGAGCAGCATCAACAGCACCTTTCAGGAGAAACTGGGCTTTAACACTCTCAGGAGGATCTGTTTGCTCCCTGCAAGGCTGGAGGGGCAGCACCCAAGGCAGAAAGTGCTTAAGTGAGGCACAAGAACGTGTGAAGTGGAAGAACTCAGCTGAAGATTCAGCTGTAAGGAGTAATGTTTTCTTGGCAGAAGGGGGAGCAATCCAGAGATGAAAGGTCATATTTCATCATTTCATGCAGCAGCTCCTCCCTTCCCTCCTGATACAGGCCCCTTGTACAGTTATTTTTGTGCAGACCTGTGCAGGCAGCAGTTGGCTGCTGGCAGCCCACCAGTGTACAAAGTACAACAGATATGATTAATCCAGTTTTTCCCCACTGCAAATCAAGCTGAACATTCCAAGCAGCAGCCTCCCTCTCGCCCACACTGTACTTTGACATGCCTCACCTTTAGTACAACCCCAAAAAAAAACCTCAAAAGAGATTCTTGCTGTTTCCAGACTGATGCTTGGAATAACACTATCCTTTAAGCCAAAGTCTTATTTATACAATGTTTGTCACAAAAGACATGTTTTTTATTGATCTGCAGTACAGAATGATCAAGCAACAGTTTCATAATCAACATTTTTTCATCCAGGGAAATGAAATTGTTTTTCCAGTTCAGTACATTAACACAGAAATTTAGTTACAAGCACTTCTTTCCCGCACCAGAAGATCAATTTAATTGGATCATTCCAACACATATTTGGAAAAGCTCCTCTCAAGTCAGAGTTATATATAAATAAATGAGCAATAACATCAAACTAGGAAGAGATTTACCAACACTGAAGACCTTTGCAAATTAATTCCTTGTGATCTTGCAGGAATTAGTGTTTTAACACTAACACAACCTATGTTGACAAATGAAAAATAACCCCACTTTCAGCAAAGGTTTCACAGTATGAAATACTGGCCTCCAAATTTAACACTGCATTCCTTCCCAGCGAGCAGATTGGTTGGGGCAGCTGTATTTTAAGGTATGTTATCAACAGGAAGCTGCTCTTACGCAGACACTTGTTCAGTAGCACAACAAACACTCACAAGCAAGATAGGGAGAGTGTCCCGTGAGTGCTCCTCCTTCCACAGCACGTGCTGAACGTGTCCCACATCAGACAACTACTCTATTCAATATAAAACAGACCTGTAAAAAGACCGGTCATTTATAAAAGTTAAATACTATTTTCACATTAGATTTGCTGTTTCAAAGAGATGAACCGTTTAGTAGATGAAAATCAAATGATCACTTATGCAAAAGCTTCATCTGGAATGTAATTTTGACCAAAATGCCATTAAGAAAGTTAGAGGTTGTAATTAAAGTACTCAAAAGCTACGTGTGGCCAACTTTTATAACAAAAGAGATATAAATCGTTCATTATCATGAAAAGCTTTAACCTCCTGACTCCTACAAATGGAGCAGATGATTGGAATTTCAAAGAAAATAAGGTTGGCTTTTTGTTTTAACAGATGTCAACTGCAGCACGAGGCACTAGGAGCAAATATTACTTGGATTGTTTAACAAAGTTTTTACCAAATTTGTAAGAAGTGGCAGTGTAAAATTCTCAAGTCTTTTTAAAGCTAACAAATGAAAGGCACACAGTATCACCAGGTGTTCAGATAACAGGAAATGAGCAGAGGTAAACTTCTCAACAGTGTCAGAACAGAGATGCAAGAAGAAATCTGGTACAAGAGGAACCAGAGTTGTAGTTCAGCCCTTAGTTATCAGCTAGTTCCTGTGAGACTGTATTAGCATGAGAACTGACTGGACAGTCAAAGCTTTGCCCTGAAATTTAGAAAGATTCACTTAGGCAACTGAAGAATTACTGGAATGACAAAAATTAGTTCCAAGAATTTGAGACATGGACTGAAGTTCCACATGGACTCGATGGAAAGATAAATGGATGGATTTGCAGTACAAGGATTTTGACTTTTTAATACCAAAAAATGCTTCCAGGGAGCTTCCAACAAATGCTTCAAAACTGAGAAGACATTAAGTCAAAAAATCTGGTAAGTGACAGTACATAAATTCTGCATATAAATGGCTAATGTGTGTCATAAGGATGCATTTGTAGCTCAGAAAAAGTTAGCGTCAGCTTCCAAATGATGTTTGTACACAGTTATAAATCCAGAACTGAACTATTTTAGTTACAGAAATATTAGTCACAGGAGTGCAAAAGGAGTCCCTGCAGAGGAGTATTCCCTTTTAGCAGGTACAAATAAGGAAACACCTGCAAAGATTTGTTACTTCAAGGAGACAGACCTGCTATTCTTTGCACAAACTCTGCACAAGAGAGATACTGCAGGAGACAGCTGTGAATACAGTGCATTGCTTGGATGTAAGTATTCATGTCTGGTTCCAGTATCACCAGGATGGTACATAAATACTTAGAACAGAGGTTTTCCTTAGTGGAAAAAGCCCAGCTTCTCACGCAGCCATTCTTCAGTTAAGTCTTCTGTATTTCTGATTTCGAATACCTAAACAAAATGGTATTGCATCAGTTCCTGAGGGATGGGACTGGAAAGGGACAAGCACAAAATGCAAGCAGCACCTTCCCACACACATTGTCTGAGCTGCAATAAACCACACACCAACCTACAATTTTCAGGTGCTTTTTTTTCTCCTCTGAAAGATCAGAGGAAAATACACAAGACTAAGTGGCAAAAAACATCACTAACATGAACAAGAATCTTGTAATTGCTACTTCTAAGCTTTACTCTTGTCCCTTAAGAATATGAGAAAAGCACATGTACTACATTTTAAAACAACCCTGAAGTGGCCCCATCTCACATGCATTATCTCAGCAAGATGGTATTTTGAAGAATACAAATAATCTAGTATCTGGGTTGATTTAAGCCCAAAGTTCAGCAATTTTACTCAGTCCCACACACAGTTATTTTTTCTTTAAACTGAAATAAATTCATAGTAGCCAGTAGCATATTGTTTTACCTGTAAAATATCTCAAAATAGAAAACTTGGAAAAAAAAACCCATCAAAATCCTAAAAGCATAAAATGGTTTGGGTTGCAAGGGACCTTGAAGAACATCCAGTTCCAACCCCCTGCCATGGGCAGGACACCTTCCACTAGCCCAGGTTGCTCCAAGCCCCATCCAGCCTGGCCTGGAACACTTCCAGAGATGGGGCAGCCACAGCATCTCTGGGCAAAACCCCCAAAACAATCTAAAAACTACTAACCCAAAGCTTTGTGAAATCTTTAATGGAGCCTTGAAGCAGAAAACAAGGTCCAAAACACCAATATACTCTTTACATTCCATGTGGGCAAGTAACTGGTTAGGGTTTGGGTTTTGTTTTTAATAGCCTGAAAAGAAACTACATTAATTATGCATTGATTACTGGAGTCCACGAAATGCCCAAAGACAAAAGTCAGGTAATTTTACAAATTCACAGGCTTTCAAAATGGAGAAACCCCGAAAATCAGTGTTAGAAGAACAGAACAGCTCAACAAGAGACAGCCTAACATGCAAGTCACTGGAGACTGACAAGAGAACTCAGCTGAATCATGAAGAAAAAAATCACAGCAGGAGGAAGTCACAGCAGGAGTTAAAATGAACCACAGCTCAGCAAGTGGCAAGAATAAAGTACATTTGAAGAACAAGCAGGCAATCCCAACTGGAGACAGCCTGTGTTCTCTGCCTTCAGGAGGAAGATGAATGATCATGAACCTCTATACCCAGTCCTGGACTTGCATTCAAAAGCCATTCAGGCTGAATTTCTCCCGTTTCAGAAGTGACAGGAACTCTAACTGAGCTGCTTCCAAGGCTTTCACCTTCTTCTCACCAACTCTGTCTTCTTGCTTACTGAAAACTGTCTTCCTCCTTTCTATCACAGTTATCAGGCCTCCAAGATGCAGTCTCAACAGATCTAAAAAAAGATTTCTTGGGGCTGTGCTGACTGTTTCCACCATCTTCTGCTGCCTTCCTATTGACTCCTGTCACCCTGAGGTCTAATTTGAAACAGAGATTTTTTTTTTTTCTTCTACGGTACAGCTGGAAGAGGCAGAAGTTGGACAGAACTTGGAGCAACCTGGTCTAGCGGGAGGTGTTTCTACAAAAGAACATTAAAGTCCCTTCCATCTCAAGCCATTCTATGATTCATGGTTCTCTTACTGGCCCAACAGACATTTTTACTGGGATGTTAAAGGACTCAGCATGATAAGACCTAAAGGGAACAGTGATGTGGGAAGAGCTGAAGTCATTTCACATGGTATGAAGAACCTGAAGCAGCTACTGACTCTATTAAGCTTTACTGCTTGAGGCAAAAAGGAGTCTAGGTGCCAATTAGGCAAAGATTTCAAAACTCTCCAAAATTAAAAATGGGTGACATTTCTCTTTTAAAATATAAACACAGCCAGACCTAGTGAATGCAGTGATTTCTTCTGGTGTCAGTACTGGAAGAACCAACACAGGAAGAAATTGTTCATCCCTTGGCACATGTTACTTACTCTGCAGGCTGTTCTGCAAGCATCCAGCCCCAGGAATCAGGAACCAGCTAAACTGATCTGTTCCACACCACACTGAGGCTTCAGTCTATTCTTCCCATCAGTAAATTCCTCCCCCACAGCAAAGATGTCCATCCTACTGAGGGATATTTTTGTTTTAGAGAACACTGTTCCTCCTGGTGTTTTAGGGTACAGAAATCTCCACACATACTCCTCCTTCAGTCTTCCTAAACCAGACTCTGTTCACTGCAATCACAAACTCTCACAAAACCCTTCTTGCCATTGGTTCAAGCAAGACACAAAACAACAACCTGCAGTGAAGGGGGAGAGAGTTATTTCAAAAGCCAGTTTTACCTTAGTGAGTTCAGCTGTCTGTACAAGCTTATTCTTGCTTCCAGCATACATCATCTGCTGCTCAGGCTTACATCCTGAAGTTATGGAGGGGAAAAAAAGAGTTTGTTTAGTTACTTTGACTGCAAAATAAGTTTGGGGGTTTTTTTAAGTATTCAAACGGAAAGATATTCACAGGAAGAGTCTCAGGTAACTACAGAAGAATATGCTCAGTAGCTACTAAACTCTTTTACATAGCTAGTTACTCTAGCTCTGAGAAATAAAGGGTAAAACAATGGAATCAGTTTATCTTCTTCCAGGGGATAACAAGGATAATCCAGTAACACCAATAAGATACACTACTACAGAATTGAGAACATAGATGGAAGCCCAAACCAAGACCCAGGTTATTTGGCTTCTATTAAAATGACACAGTGCCCTGTCCAGATAAGTTGATGTTGAGGGCTGCTGTGACACAAGCAGAGGATGCTCTATACTGCTCTCTACAAACCTGGGATGACCCAGGATTAGTCTGTTTCTCCTGGAACAGTCTGTTCCCCCAGCACTTTCACACGCTCAGATCTGGGTGAGGAAGCCCTCTTTTCCTCCTTCTCTCCCACAGCTGTGACAGCCCTTTAAACTGGCCCCTCACAGAATCCTCTACTGCTGCCCATTACATCCAGGCCCCCTGAAAACTCGTCTCAAATCCCATCCTAACCCTCTTAAAGTCCTGTTCCTTTCATGGGTACAATGAAAGGCATAGGATTCTAAGATCCTCAAAAAGAAATGGGTTCCCATGTCCTTCTGAGATGAGAGGAATTTCTTCCCTCCCAGTCACTTCTGTCTGAATCAGGAACACAGGTAGTGTCGTCCAGCCCTCTCCACTCACTTCCTGAGCCTTACAGGGTCATGTTTTGAAGACTCCCCAAGATCTGAGGAGTAATCAGGTTAAATTAGGTTAAACCTCCATGAGTAGATGCAGAGTGCTCCATTAAGAGGAGGGCTGCTGAGCACACTGAGAACAGGCACATGTAGGCAGACACGCCTTTTGGCCAGCTAAGCAGGAAACCAACACTCCAGCCTTCAGAAGTGGAAGAGAGACTCTCTTCTATCATACATCTGAAGTGCCCTAAATGTCAACCTCAAAGGCAGGAAAACCTCCTTGAGAGCACTCAGTTTTATCTTCCCTAGAAAAGAATATTCCCAAATTTACAACACACAGTAGATACAGAGTTTACTCACCAACTGGACTGGAGAAGATAAAGCACAATGGATAAGAAACTCTTCCATCTTCATGCTGGTACTTGTAACTATACACAATAAATGTTTATTCTGAGGTTAAAGAAACTATGAAATCAATTATTTTAGTAGGATATAACCCTCAGTTATAAGAGCTTGATGCAGGCAGAAGTCAGTGTTGCATTTTAGATGATGTTTTAATTTGGCAATAATAACATCACTGCCTTGTTTTCACTTCCATATCTGACTTTCAGAACTTGCCCTGCCTCAATGTGAGGCCTTCTCTGTAGTAATGTTTCACATCAGAGCTAAAAATCACCCTCTCATCACAAATATTCCTCTTTCAACTTTGTAAAAAGGCTTCCCACACCCACCAGTGTGGTTTTGGCTCAATGAAAGCCAAATTCTTTCTTTGCTGACCAAGAACTTCATTGTTTCAGGTGTTCTGTTCAATTTGAACTGCAGTTTTAGCCAGGACTTCTGTTTACAGCCTCCCACTGCACTGCAGGCATGAAACCCAAAATTCAGAACAGCACAGGGAATGGTGCCAGCCAGCTCTTGAGGCTAATAGGGCAGGTATTTTCTTCACATGTAACTTAAGTACCCCTTTTATTTCACTAGTTAGAGTAACTTACTTGACCCTCTTTTATTCCCTTTTTTCAACACAGGGATTCCTCCCTGGATCACATGCCCACAGCAATCCAGAATCAGTAACTGCAGCAAAACAACAACAGCCACATCCTAAGAAAGTACCAAAACAGATCCAGAGTTACACAGGCAGATTCCTATATTTAGAAGTAGCCACTGACTGGTACATTTTACTCACTTCTTTACATTACCAGCAGCATGGCTTTGCTTTACTTCCCCAAACATTATATAGTCTAAAAGGAAATAAAATGTCAGGAAAGGCTTAAATGAGTCATTGTTTCAGCAAGTGGTACAACAGTTCATTGCAGCCTGAGAACTGATCCCCGGGTTATTTCATAAATAAAGGATCAGCAAGATCACACTACAGCAATCATTGGCCTAAAAAGGTGAAGTTCAACATTTTGAACAGCTTCCAGGAGTGAGTAAGTCCAAATGGCAGCAGCATAGGAAGGATATCGAGGTTGTCTCTCAGGCAGCTCATCCTTTAGCTCATCAGGAGAAATACCCTGGTGACATTAAACACAAGCAATATTTGAGCAAGTACCTCACCCTGGAAGGTTAAAGCAGGGTAATGAACAGTGAAACACCTCTAGGGCAGATGCTGATCTACAGGTGAACTGATAGGGACATCCCAAATTACTACAGCAGTTTAGGAAGATTTGTGTGCCAACAGACTCCTATGACTAAACACAGAATTAATGTTAGCATGAACAATCACCCCTATTTTAGGCATAATAAGTTGAGCAAACATTTTTTACTTTAGTTGGCTGTGCTGGCAGTTATCAGGCTTTACCAACCTTAATGCTAAACACAAATAAGTAAGCACACACCATAAGATAAGTTAAATTCAGCTACATAAATCAAAAATTAGAAAAATTCAATCCTTCCTCGTTCAGCAAACAAAAAGGATTCCCCATAACATTTGAGTGCTACATGAACATCTACTTTCTAGGGAACAAGAGCCATGGTTAATGCTCAAATCTCTGGGAAGGATTTAATTTTGCCCTATGGATCGTTAAGAAACACCACACACTGGGCTGACCTTATTATGCCACCCATCAAATTTAGAGTCTGCAGGGGATTAGCAATCCTGCTTCTAATTGGTGGCAGACCAGTTCAGACACACATGTGCAGATCTACGTGGAAACACAGCAGAAATCTCTTCAAAAAGCCAGCAGGTGCCAAAGATGCTTTTTACATTGTTAAAACAGCTTTAAAATAACTTTTTTTTTTCTTGGTGCAATTAATTAGTCAACTCAATTGCTTCTGCATAGTTTCACTATTAATGGTGCTGTGCTTTACATGCAGAGTGACCATGCATTTAAATAAGCTCATGACCCAAATTAGATTAAGAGTTTGATAACAACTTGAAACTAAGGCAGTACCTTAGAGACAACAATACATTGCAGGCTGAAGATACTCTTATTTACAATTCATTTAACAAACCTCATGCTCCTCATCCAGCACCACCAACTGCTTATCCTTGTCGATTTTCACTATAAATCAAAATAAAACACAGATCAATGTTTTTTTAAATCGATTTATACAATGGATGCATGAAGCTTTTTAGCACTCAACAATTATAGTCCCTGTGATTCTGTTTTTCTTCTTCAGTGCATCCCATGACTTCCCAAAATCATTTTACAAACAATGGTAGACTCTGAGCCATAATTAAATATAAATATTCTGCTAAGAGCAGATGGAGATTTGAATCCTAAGAACAGCACGGTTTTATTGTTAAAATTACAGGCAGAATTGAAAGTGCTGCAGCTCAGAGAACAAACATCCCCCTGGCTCATGTTTACCTGATACAGCAGCAATCTTAGACAGGTAAGAAAAGAGGAGAGAGGATTTCTGACAATTTTTGTCAGGCACATTTGGAACTTACTTATAATGGCAGCATTGTTGGTCTCTTTGCGAAATCGGAATTTTCTCAGTTTCTCCACCAGGTCTTCGGCAACATCACAAACCACCAGAGATTCACTCTGCAAAAAGGAAACGGCAGAGGGGAGGGAGAGATAAATCCTTCCACAAAGTGAAACAAACAGAAAAATCCCTGTATCACCCACATCTGTGCATTAATACTGAAGAGGGCTTGCATGCAGCTTGTCCAAATCTTCAGAGCGTCACAAAAACCAGAAAAAATGTAGGTGAAAGCAAATTTTTTTTTAAAAAGCCACATGAACAAACATTTATCTGTTTTAATTTCCCTCTTCAAAGCCACACAGTTAACTAGGAGTACTTATTAACTACTCCTGAAGTGGGATTATTCTCAGAGCTCTTAGAAGTAAACTTTACACTTCAGCAGTAGATTTTACTCTTTTACACTTTACACTTCATTTTCCAAGTTCTGAAATAAGGGAGTGCCTTAGAGCAACAGCAAATGGGATCAAGTAATTTAAGCATTTAACATAGTAAGAGCTACTATTAGTATTTAAGAACATTGTCCTTGTTTATTTTTACCCACAAAAATATTGAGATTCACACACACACACTCAGAAAGAGTTTCAGATATTTTAACCCAAAGACATGCAGCCATTTCCCCCTGTGCACACCAAGCTCTCAGAGATGCTCAAGTAACATATTAGTCACCACACTGAAGATGAGGAAGGAAATTATTGTTTCACAAGCAGCCATGCAGGTTATCTTCCCTTACACAAGCAATTTCTGAACTGCACCAAGCCAACCACTGCCATTTCCTGAGCAACATTTTATACACACAACCTCCATCACCAAGGGGTTCATGCCAGCTTGATAAAGAAGTTACTTAAAATCTACAGCTTAAAATGTATTTGTGAACTCCCAAAGCATCAAGAACTTTGTACGAAAGTAACTCTATTTCAAGGTTTCCTTAAAAAAATTCCTCAGATAAAAGAATTGTGCAAGATTACCAATCAAAAGCTCTAACAAAGAGCTCTTGCATTGAGACAAATCGCTGCTTTTAAACCATAATGTCACTGTTTAAGCTCCCAGTTCTGTCTCTCTGTGTTCAACATTATGAGATTTCTCCCAAAAAGTAGACGGGTAGCTCTGCTTCCCCACTTCCAATACCCCACGTTTGTTGTTGCTCCTAAAAAGATTTCCACCAAATTCTGGCACAAAGTTTCATCCCTGTGCTTCCCCTGGATAGCTGGAGAGGAAATCAGGCTCTGCTGTGACAGCACAGCTCAGGCACTGTCTGTACAGTGCCCTGATTTTGCTTGTTTCCCCTGAACCTTGGTTCCTTCTGATCAGCGAGTGGGTCCCTCCAACCCAAACAGGCTGAACTCGATGATCTCAGAGGTCTTTTCCAACCTAACTCATTATGGAGTATGTGAAATATCCCTAGTATCCACTCTCACTCATTGAGGGGAAAAAACCCTAAAAAATACTTTAAAACACAACAGAATTCAGGGCTGCATTACATAGTTGAAGTTGTATTTAATATAAAATGTCACTTATACCCACTCTCACCCAGGAGGTATCAATTAAAAAAACCAACAGAACTCAGGGCTGCATTTCAAAACTGTGATTATATTTTATATAACATGCTCTTTTGTGAAGGAAGCTTTTCTCCAATCCTCTGAGCTCATCAGCTTCTCCCAGCAGACAAGTCATGCTCCTGCTCACACCAGTGCAGCCACACGAACACAAATCCCTGAGGGGAATCTGAAGGAAAACACTTGGTAACATCAGACTGGGACTGTTTATCGGGGCTAAGCCGGCTCACCAACGCTTGGCTGAACAAAAACTGAAGAAAGGCAAAGCAGGATTGCTGCACAGACAGGGGCACACCTGCCAGCACCACCGAGGGGTGCTGCTGCTCCCCTCACCCTCACACTGACAAGTAAACATCAATTTCCCAAAGTGCCTCAAACACGATTCTCACTAGAGAGGCACACAGCAAAACAACACAAGATTTGATCAAATTTGCTTCGCAACTGCTCCTTCCACAGGAGATTCACCTTTCCAAACCTTTACTAAAAGCAGCATGCATGACTATTCCTTTTTCCACAACCACTCCTTTAGCCATTAACCAATATTAATGCAAAGTACCCCACAGCATTCATCCACCAGTCCTTATTTCTCTTGGTCTGTTCCAAGCAGCAATCACAGCCCAAGTTCAAATTCACCACTCGGGTGAACGAGCTCAGTGAGCAGCAATCAGACACTCTTCAGCGAATTAGCCCAAAACATTACAAGACAACCAAATGCGATCAAGCCATCGGTCGTTTCACAGACACATAATCAATTCCTCAGAGGTCACATCACGCGTTTTCCTGTTGATTAACTCCATCATTTCCCTACCGAATCTTTCCGAACCAGCTAACTGTGCATCACCTCAGCGGGGTGAGCCCCTTCCCGGCCGGATCCCCCCCTCCGTTCCCCTCCCCGCCCTCACGGTGCCACCGGGTCCCCGTGAGGGAGCGGCGCGCGCTCCCCCCTCACCATCTTGGCGCGCGCACCAACCGCCGCCGCTCGCGCGCCGCCGCCGCCTCCTCCTGACTGGGTCCAGCCCCGCCCTCACCGCGCCTGCGCGGCGCAAGCCCCGCCCCCTCCCTCGCCCTCCGACCAACCAACGGCGCTCCCCCGGGGTGGGCGGGGCAGGGTCACGCGCCTACGGGCAGCGGGGAGGCTCAATGCCGCCGAGGGCGGGAAAACGCTTGGGCCCCTCCCCGTTGCCATGACAACTGGCGGGCTCGCCCGCCCTCAGGCGCCATTTCGCTCTGAGGGCGTCTGAGGGGAACGGCACGGCACGGGCTTCACAGCTCCTAATGTGCCTTAAAAAGGGCAATGGCTGAAGGGTTAAACCCTAGAATCGAAGCATGAGATGAATCAGAAGTTGTTGTGCTCGCTGTGCTTGTGTGTAGAAGCGGAGTGTAATTCTGGAATCACGCGGCGTGTCCTGGACGCAAGGCTCAAATAGGAGCTGCCAGTGCTGGGCACACGCTGCTTGTCCATAATGGGGTCTCGGTGTGAGGCTCTCCTGATGCTGGAGTGAATATCTGGCCTTTTGCATGTCGCTCACAATTTTAGGTGCTGTAGGAGCAGAGAAAACTGCACTTTCAGGGATTCCATAACTGCACTTTCAGGGATTCCATAACATATTTAAGAATATAATTGCTTTCCTCAGAACAAAAGGACAGATGCAGCCTTCACATCTCAGACAAAACTCCTAGTGAATTATACTAATGATTTAAACACAAAATTTGTAAGATAAAACTGCAGATTTCCACCAAGGGCTTCAGCAAACACCACAGAAATGCAAATGCTGAGCAAATGCTGAGCAGCTATTGAAGCCTCACACAAAATCACAGAATATCCTGAGGTGGAAGGGACCTGCAGGGATCATCAAGCCCAAATCCTGGTTCTGCACCAAAAACCCAAAAAATCCCACTCTGTGTGTGAGAGCATTGACCAAAGGCTCATTGAGATCTGCCAGCTTTGGGGCTATGAGCATTCCCTCAGGAGCCTGTTCAGTGCCTGAGCATCCTCTGGGGGAAGAAGCTTTTCCAATCACAGAATCACAGTCTGGTTTGGGTTGGAATACACCCTAAAGATTATCCAGTTCTTACCCCACTGCTCTGGGCTGGAACACCTTCCACCAGGCCAGGATGCTCCAAATCCTAACGTGGCCTTGAACACTTGCAGGAGATGGGGCAGCCACAGCTTTTCAGGGCAGCCTGTGCCAGGGCCTCACAGGCCTCACAGCCAACAATTCCTTGCCAATAACCAATCTAACCTCCATTCCAGTGCCAGGAGGATGCAAAGCACAGCCACGTGCTGCCAGGGACGCAGCTCTGGGTCACCTCACAGCCACTGCCACTGCAGCTATGACTGGAAGCTGGCAGGGACAAAGCTGAGGCACACTGAGCTCTCCGGCCTCTGGCAGGGTGGCAAAGCTGAATCCTGCTTCAAGTGCCACCACTGGCTCCAAGAGCTGTCTGTGCAAGCACAAAACAGCAGCAGCCCTCCTGGTGCTCTACAGACTTGAAAGGGAACCTGGAGCCCAAGTGTACTGCCAGGAGCGAGCACCTCTGCCAAGAGCCCAGGAGTGACAAAAGCCAATTTCCTCCAGAGGCATAAAGGCTCTGCCCAGGGAGCTGACCTGTGGGTCAGCAGGGCCAAGGGGACAAGGGACTGGAATCATAGGCAGACTGCCCTGGGACAGGCCTGACAAACAGGACGTGGGGTAGGCAGGAGTCCCCATCCTCTCTATGCCCATCTGAACACAGGAACTTAAGGCACAGGGGGAATCATGGCAGAGCAGACCTCTCTCCTCTGTGTTCCACAGAGTTCTTGGAAGGGTTAGGATGCAGAAAAGGGAGTCTGGGATTGGAGAATGCAGAGGACGTGGGCACAAGAATCCTCTTGCTTTATACGCCTTATCCAGTCCCCGCAGCTGGTGGAGGGTAGTTGGTATGGATATCACATATCAGTGCATGGAGCAGCACTTTGATTACCTGGAGCTGAGGTGACTCAGCTGCTTCAGGAGCCAGTGCAGCACAGCCTGGGGCAGAGTGCCAGGGCTTGGGGAGCCCTGCTCTGGGCTGACTTGTAACAGTGGCACTTGTGAGCTGCTGCTGAAGTGCTGCTCCTTGCTCTTGGGGCTGTAGTGTAGCCACAGCAAAAGGATCTGTGAAGCACACAGCAGTGACCAGGTAGAGATCTCCAGCAGCAGCTTGGAGGAGGAGGAGGAGGCTGTTGCGATGTACCTCTTGAACACCCCTGCCACGGTGGCTCAGGAGGGATGTCCTGCTGCGTATTTGGAGCACCTGCACTGCTGCCTGGAGGAGACAGACCTTGACCACTCTGTTGTAGGCAACAAGAGGCTTTCTGTGGAGATCGCCTTGTGGCCAGACTTTGCAGTGGTTGAACCCCCATGGCTTTTCTGGCACCTGGTGCATGATCCGGGTGCCCACACTGAGGCCATCCATGATTACACTGGGCTGTGGCATGAGTTCAAGCGTCTCCTTCTTCTGCAACCCTTGAAAGAGGTGCTGAGGCACAGGGCTGTCTGATGGCAGCTGAGCTGCCTGATGAGGGTGTACATATGGGCTGTATATAAATTGTTGTATTGTGGTTTTATGTATTTATGTTTGTACTGGTTCTGTAATGGTTTATGACCTGACCCCTGTTTTACCTGCAATGGTTCTGCCTTAAGTTACCTCCTCCCCCTTCCATGTCAATCTTCCCCAAAACGGTTGTGTCATTCCCCTGTCCCCTCCCTGTTGCCTTGTCCATCATTCGGCTCCCCATCCCACTCCTCCAGAATCTTCCAGGCAGGGCATCGAGTGATTGGACCAGGGCCAGGTGTCTCTCCCTTAAACCTTCCCCATTGGACTGTGTACCTGTCTGTTTACCCACCTCCCACTCCCCCAAGTTTCGCCATTGGTCGGTGGATGATCCCACACCCTCCTTTATAATATGTTGCACAGCTCTCCTCAGGGCTCTTTGTTGGCTGTTCCCTTGAGGTGTGGTGGTCGTCAGAGTTCTGCACTAAACCTTGGATTATAACCCCAAGTGAGAGCCTGCCTCTTTACTCCATGGACGTTTCCACTTCTCCTCCATTGCAGGGTGGTGACAGCCCTAGCCACTCTCTGAACTTCCTGGAGGAGCAGGGGAGTGTCCCCCACAGCCCACCATGCCAGCTGGTCAGGCAAAGCCTGGTGGGCTTCTGGTGGGCAAGGCAGCAATAGTGTATATATGAGCTGTATATAAATTTCCTCTGTCTATCTTTAACCTGCATCATTATACATATAAAGTTCTAAGAAGTATATATAAAATGTATATATGCAAAACTTTGTATATAGTTTTGCAATATTAAGCAAAAATCTTACATAAAGTTTGGATGAGGTTGTGTGGCAGCAGCATGTGAAGGACCTGGAGCAGGGCACCCATGAGCCGATTGACACTGGCTGGGGAGCTCAGCTCAGCTCACATCTGCCTTGGGGCAGTCCCTTCTGGGCTGTTGCCAAACTGCTGCTCCCACCTTTGGGGCTGCAGTTCTGGCACAGAAGAGCTGCCATAAACGGGGAGACCGGCAGCACAAAGACCTGAAGCAGAAGCGAGAAGGCGCAACATGGGAATCGAGCAGGGAAGGCTTCACTTAAGGAAGGGATTCAAAGAGATAAAGGAAATACAGAGGACAATGAAAGTAATGCAGTAGAAAATGGCCTGTTAGTTTTAAATCACCAAATACAACATTTCAGACCCTGATACATGCCGAGCACAATGTGTCCTGAGACAATGCTGTGGCAGAGACAGAGTTCTTCGGGCACAGCAGCACAGCTGGCATTGCCGGTGCAGAGCTCCTCAGACGCACTCTGCTGGGTGTAGGCTTTTCCACCTACACCTTGAAGATGGTTGTGATGCACCTCCTGAGCACCCCTGCCACGGTGGCTCAGGGGGGGATGTCCTGCTGCGTATCTTGGAGCACCTGCACTACTGTCTGGAGGAGACAGACCTTGACCACTTTGTTGTAGGCAACAAGAGGCTTTCTGTGGAGATCGGCTTGCGGCCAGACTTTGCAGTGGTTGAACCACCAAGGCTTTTCTGGCATCTGGTGCATGATCCAGGTGCCCACACTGAGGCCATCCATGATTACACTGGGCTGTGGCATGGGTTCAAGCATCTCCTTCTTCTGCAACCCTTGAAAGAGGTGCTGAGGCACAGGGCTGTCTGATGGCAGCTGAGCTGCCTGATGATAGTGTACATACGGGCTGTATATAAATTGTTGTATTGTGATTTTATGTATTTATGTTTGTACCGGTTCTGTAATGGTTTATGCCCTGACCCCCTGTTTTACCTGCAATGGTTCTGCCTTAAGTTACCTCTTCCCCCTTCCATGTCAATCTTCCCCATAACTGCTGTGTCATTCCCCATCCCCTCCCTGTTGCCTTGTCCATCAGTCGGCTCCCCATCCCACTCCTCCAGAACCTTCCAGGCAGGGCGTCGAGTGATTGGACGAGGGCCAGATGTCCCTCCCTTAAACCTTCCCCATTGGACTCTGTACCTGTCTGTTTCCCCACCTTCCACTCCCCCAAGTTTCGCCATTGGTCGGTGGATGATCCCACACCCTCCTTTATAATATGTTGCACAGCCCTGCTCAGGGCTCTTTGTTGGCTGTTCCCTTGAGGTGTGGTGCTCGTCAGAGTTCTGCACTAAACCTTGGATTATAACCCCAAGTGAGAGCCTGCCTCTTTACTCCATGGACGTTTCGACTTCTCCTCCATTGCAGGGTGGTGACAGCCCTAGCCATTCTCTGAACTTCCTGGAGGAGCAGGGGAGTGTCCCCCACAGCCCACCATGCCAGCTGGTCAGGCAAAGCCTGGTGGGCTTCTGGTGGGCAAGGCAGCAATAGTGTATATATGAGCTGTATATAAATTACCTGTGTCTATCTTTAACCTGCATCATTATACATATAAAGTTCTAAGAAGTATATATAAAATGTATATATGCAAAACTTTGTATATAGTTTTGCAATATTAAGCAAAAATCTTACATAAAGTTTGGATGAGGTTGTGTGGCAGCA